GCTTTACTTTATCAGTAAGTACAAACAAATTAAAGGGAAATCCAACCTTGATAGCAAACTTCTCTATTAAAAGAAAGCAGACAAATCAGACAGCGTGTCCACACACAAAACAATTTATCCCGAAACTCTATAACGAAACGTCGTATAAAGAATCATCGTATAAATTTCAGAGTGTCCACACACAAGAAACGTCGTATAAATAATCATCGTAAAAATTCAAGGATGTCCACACACTGAAGAAAGTAATCCTGAAACTCTACAGCGAAATGTTGTATAGGTGCACAGTTTGCTTCTGCGGTCATGAAATGGAAGCAAAAATGAGAGGTCTGGTCTCCTTTCGCTCGAGGTCACGTTAAGCCCCGCCCAGTTAGTTACACTAGTTACACTCCCCCTGTCCACACACAACATTTTCCGTGATTAGGCGTGATTAGGCGTGATTCTTTATTGAGTTTCAGTTCGAAACGATGCCCAAACCTGCGTTTCGTTAGACTAGTTTCGTTATACGACGTATCGTTAGTGAGCGTCCACACACACAATTTCATCGTAAAACTATCGCGAAACGGTATCACTATCACGAAACGGTATAGCTAATCACGGAAAATGTTGTGTGTGGACAGGGGGATTATGTCACATACCATTGAGAAAATTGCTAATTTGAGATTTGCAAAGCTGTAGCGATCTCATATTTCAAACATTCATTACTTCTTATTATTTATCAAATATATTTCAACCTTACCCTATTCAGAACTTCTTAATTTTTATCAGATTTATTTCAAAATTTTCCTATTCATAATTTTTTAAAATTATTTATCAGATATTTCTCAAACTTTCCCTATTCATAACTTCTTATTATTTGTCAGATATATTTCAAACTTTCCCAATTCTGTTTCTCTGATTTTTTTTAATTTTTTATATCACTTGATTTCTTCGGGCAATACATTGGAGTACTGAATAGCCCTTTAGTTGATTGCTTGAAAGTCTCTGGGATCATGTTTAAAGGTACTATGTCCCATTTGCAGGCCAAAAAAATGAAAAGGTTAAATTCCAACTGTATTGGAACGATAATACTAATTTAGAACTTCCCTAAAAAAGGTGGGGCTTGAAAATGTCTTCAAGTGGGAAAATAACGACTATTAGTTGTCGTATCGACTTTAGGGCTATAGAGCCCAAAAGTAATAGTCTTGATTTTCAGACAATTGTACCGAATGGTCATACGTTTTATGCTGCGTAAAGATTCAATCAGTTTAATCTTGGCCATCACAAGAAGTGGGTTATTGATGTAGACAAATGCTCATGTACCCTTTACAACTCTTTTCATGTATGTTATTACCAAAGAACAAAAAAAGCCAGTCAGTCACTCAATAGTGTCTGACAGTGAAGTCTAGCAAGTAAACGGGTTTCCTTGCATAATTTGAATATGAGGACACTGCTAACGTTTAAATTTCACAGATAGGACATACATGACATATTCATAATTCCTGCAAAGTTCTACAGCATTTGAGGTTGGCTGCAAAAGGGACACAGTACCTTTAATGTAATATCCTACACCAAACTTGAACTTATGGAAAATAACCAGTTTGCAGATTTTGGAGCCCCCCCCCCCCCCCCCAAAAAAAAAATTTACTACGAGGTGGGCCACAATTTTACAGCTATTCCACCCTTTCATCACCCTATCTAATTTATTTCTTCCCCCCAGTTTCCGCTCACTTGCTCCTGTTTCGGATCATCTGTTGACTATTCTCTGAAGACTTCCAGAGTACGATGATGATTTATGAAAACTTTCCTTTTTTCCTCCTCATTCTCTAACCCAGAACTACATATTTTTACGATAAAAATTCTGTGGGGTGTATATAACCACCACAGAAGTTTACAATGGCGACCAAAAGAAAGGGTTAAACTAATGTGACCAAACTAATTTTCGATTGAATAAGGTACAATATTGGGAGATACAAAGAAGGTTCAAACACTCCCACATATATATAAAAAAAAAATTAATGACACAAATTGACTGGTAGGTTGTATCATATATACTGTGGTACACCGAAGGGAGTTAACACGTGGCGAGCTGTGGACCAGAGTTATCTCATATTGTACATTCTTCAATACAAAAAAAAAAATATGATTGACTACACCAGTTTTTAAAATGAGTTAAGTAATAATTTTCTTTTTATTAATTACCAAATATTTTCTAACTTATTTTGATATTTCTACTTTTAAATTACACCTTCAAAATTATGCCGTATTGCCATAATGGCATTAGATATGGATGTTCACGCAAAGCTCCTGGCTATCTCAGACAGTAGAATAATCCAATTGCCTTGTAAAGAAAATAAATGATGATAAAATACATCAATCGATTAACTTAGAGTCTAAATGATGAAATACATATAATGACTTTGTGCCCTGAAAGTCACAAATAATCACCCATTGTTGGTTTTGTGCCCTTAATACCATGCAAGTAACAAGTTATACAAAGGTGTCAATTTTAGATTATAGTATTTATGGTTGTAAATACCACACACAGTGAATAATGATGTAATCCCTTAATATCATTATGCCAAGAGATGAGGAGTCCAAAGAAAGAGGGAGACAGATCGAAGAGGGGTAAGGGATAATACTCCTCAATTCTTCCGGTTTAGTTTCCCCTCTCTTTCTTTCATTCTTCCTCAGGGTAAGTTGCCTCTGGGACACACACATTGACGAAACCTCAAGGTATTATAGAGCTCCGTTGGGAGCAGAAACCACAGAGTATTAATAGAGGGATGTAGAGATTTCTACCCTCTTTCACCAGTTCCTTCAACAAAGGGTTCACTTCATAATGCCAGTGGACCAACCCATTTATTGTGCTGGTATTATTTAGCATTAGCCTCCTTTTGCTTTATTAATCCCATCCCATCCCCCGACCAACCCACTTTACAGATTTTTTTTTTTTTTTTTGATTTTTTTTTTTAGGGTCAACAACTTTGTGAAGTTTCTAGTTCTGAACTTTCACTTCGGACAGCATAGCATATCCACTACAAGATTTGGGAATTTGAATTGTAAAACTTCCTGAAAAAATTTGGAAAAAATTATTGGATATATCTGACCTAAAAAGGAGCACCACTAGGCCCATGATTTGAGAATGAAATTGGGCCATACTTGTAATGTAATCAAATTTAATGCACAAATCTTTGTTAAGTGCTTTGTTATAAATGATTTCATTCACCTTTGAACAAATAATTGTATTTCAATGGTGAGAATGTGATTTGTACACATTCTGTGCTGCTAGGTAGGAAAAGCCATAATGTTGTCCTACCTAGCAACAATTAATGTTTGCCATTTGACCAATGCAGTTCTATTTTAAAGAAGTGAATATGAGACAAATCTTAAATGTAAAAGACATCGAAAAAAAAAAAAAAAACATAAATACATTAGACAAAATGAGATTAGAAACAAAGCCAAGCTTAAACATCCGAAGCCTCATCAATTTCATTCATCATGCCTTAAAATTGTCCAAATCAAGAACTACAAATGAGGCATGAGAAGAAAAAAAAAAGGTTTTTCTCTTGGCATTGAGAGGTAGGCTTTAAAAGCAAATGACCCAACCCCTCCCTCTAGTGTATTTTACCATTCACTGCCCACTGGGCCGTTCCAATAATAATTCAATTCCTAACCTTAATGCCCTTTTAAAGTTGACACCAACTAATATGTGGTGTCACTTCTTTGCAAATTGAACTCCAAGATATCAGCATCAGCCTAAATTCTTTTCTCCTAATTTCAAAATGCTAGACAGTTTTTCAATTAAGAGTATACTACAATAAAGTGGGACAGATCAAATACTGATTCACACTCTAATCGTAGCCCATCTAATACGGCCAATGCATGGTATCATTACGCCCACCATTACTTTCAATCCAGCTGCTCACTCGACCCAATTACAATTTTTGATAAATTATTTACAATACGTGCGATATTTCTGAAAAAAGCTGGCTTTACGAACAAAAGAAGTAATTAGGAGAAGTGATTACAACCCATCCAAAAGAGGACCTATGACATTTTCAAAATGTTTATGGTTTAAAGTACTGGCAAGCTGGAGTTCTATAGAGTAGCAATCTTTTCTTATTGTTAGAATTAAGATGCCACTTTATATGTGAAATATGAATACATTTTATAAGTGATCCTTTCTACTTGTAATGTATGTTTGAGGGTTTGTTTTACCGGACTGCTAAGAAAGCATGTGTATGCTTCTAAGTGAAAAACCATGGGACCAACAGCTTTAAAGCCTATCTGAACTAGTTTGGCCAGGAGGGATTAGACCTCTCTGGATGGTCACTGTCCGGTGGTTATCTCATCAAATCAGCTCTCAATTAACCCAAGAAAAAGGGGACCATGGGGGACCAATGGTCACCACTTAGGCATTGTAAGCTATAAGCAGTGCAGTGGGGCTTTAAGTACGAGCTCCGAGGGACTTGACGAATGAGGATCAATGCCTTACCTAGGGCATGAGTACATTGACTTGGGTTTTGAACCAAGGACCTCCCTGTCACCAGACATCTGTTCTACCACCTCAAAGCCATCATAGTATCTCCTGCAATACGGCTGCTGAATTCCAAACTTTAACCATTGACCTAATTACACCATACCCTAACCATAACCTATCCATACATCCCCATAGCAATCTTAACACCAACCCTATATCTTTCATTGAATAAAGCCTGGAGCAAATGTCACAAGAGCATGTACAGTCAACCCTGCTTTAGTGACCACCCGTCTAGAAAGACCACTTTTTATGTTTCCCTTGAAAATGGTTTCTCATTGAAACATGTACTAAAGGAACCTGTCTACAAAGATCACTTTTTTTGTCTCCCTCAATATGGTTTCTCATTGAAACGTGTACTAAAGGAGCCTGTCTACAAAGACCACCTGTCTACAAAGACTACTTTTGTCTTTTTCTTGGGCGGTCGCTATAGACAGGTTTGACTGTATCATGCCATCTCCTAGGTCTACGCATTAATTCTTACCCTGTTGCGATGACTGCGTAAGCTTTCTTGGCCGTGTCATAGAACGCAAACCTCTCTATCGTTCCCATGGATACCTGTTGCATTGTAAGAAACAAAAGAGAAGTTGGATACAATTTTAACAATGTTTATGTAAATATAGTATTTTTAAAAGTGATGACGCAGAAACCAAATTAAAATTTTTTAAAAAATCAAATCAAATCAAATCACATCAAGTTACATTAAATCACATCAAAATCAAATCATATTCAATCGAGTTGAATAAATTCCAAAATCAAATCAAATCAAATCACATCAAGCCACATACAATCAAATCTCATCACATCTCATCAATCACATCACATCATATCGAATCAAATCAAATCACATCAAGTCACATTAAATCACATCAAAATCAAATCATATCAAATCGAGTTGAATAAATTCCAAAATCAAATCAAATCAAATCAAATCACATCAAATCAAATCAAATCATATCAAATCACTTAAATCACATACAATCAAAACTCATCACATCAATCACATCACATCATATCAAATAAAATCAAATCAAAATCAAATCATATCAAATCAAAATCAAAATCAAATCAAATCAAGCACATTACCTGTGAGCCATTGTGTTTGTTCAGTAACTCTTGGTATTCATCCCAAACTGGAGTTTTGACTCCGTTTTCTTTGTCTGATGGGATGACTTCCATTGTCTGAGCCTGAAAGAAAGAAAAAATGAAAATAAAACTTGTTTAATTTAAAATTGTGGTTTATTTAGTTGACTTTCAACCATAAGGTTAAGGGTTCAAATTCCTTGCCCCGGCACTGAAGTCCTTTGGCAATACATGAACATGAATCGGCCATTCCCAACTTAGGTGAATCAGGTACCTGGTATGCTAATTAGCAACACATATGTACACATATTAGGGTAATTAGGGTAATGTAATACATGTATGTACATATATCAGGGTAAAAGATTGTCTGTAAAGGCACTATTATAATTACTTTTAAAATTATTAATGAGGTGATTATTTCCTGCAATTTTGGTTATATTTATCCATAGAACCACTGATCAATGATATAGTAAACCATTTATTAAACACTCCTAATTTTCTGTAATTTGATAATCAACATGGATTTCATGTGACATTTTGCAAAAAGACTGCCGACTGACCTTAATATTTCACTAATTCATGTTCACATCAGTTATTCAAATTCCACATAGATACAGCTCTTTTTATTTGACATGTTAACCTTTGAAGGTTTCTAGTTACATCCAAATGTCCGACCATCGCTCAAATCCTACAGATTGCCATGACCTAATTATCCTTATCCAATACATGCTATTATTGCTCGAGAAATGTTTTCATTTTGCCATTTATTTGTGAATTATTTGTACAAAGTAGTTTCTTAATGTGGATGTGTGACGGGCAGAAGGTCATAAGCACCACAAGAGCATGCCATAAAGCTAGTTAATGGAAACTAGCTTCCAAGGTTTTAATTGCCTTATGAACAGGTAATACCATTGAAAAAAAATCATGACAGGTATTTCTCTCTTTCATAGATTAATATAAAACTGGAAATGGACGGTACCTGTAATTTAAGTAGGTTTGTACCAAATAAGCAATTGTTTTTTAAGTTACTGGCATTTTAATGTAAACAACCTTTTGCTTTAACGTAATAACAACGCCCATGTTAAAAAAAATGGTAAAATGCTCTCATGCCCTACTTTATGGGAAGAGTTGAGAAGTGAGTTCATGCACTCCTAAAATGGCTCCAACAAACAACACAAAATGCAGAAGAAAAAAACCTACTGGGTCAGTCATTTTAGCACATGAACCATCCTGTATCTCGAATAGCTGATTGACATGGCCATTCTAATCTTAATCTTATTCCTATTCTTAGCGGTCAAAATAGACGATGTACAAAATACTTTCGTAGGCAAACAACTTGCCGAGGGACTTTCCCTGTCCTACGTCGTACAAATATATTTTAAAAGTAATTAGCTGACGGTCGGAGATGAAAATAGCAATGCTTTTAACTTGGCATCAGGTCAAAAAGCTACAAAAACAAACACGTTCGTTTATCAGAAGTTTGCAAAACACATATGCCATCCATGGTGAGCATTTGAAGATAGCAGAAGCCTACGACGAGCATCGGAGAGTAAAGGGCAGTGGATTGACGTTACTTACAATCCTACTCCGTCTCACGAGGGATTCGGCTTGCGTGGTGGCTCCCCCATATATACATACTCTTTGCATTGGTTTGACATCTTACAACAATGCTTCAAAACTTACAGAAAATGTCAACAAACATGTTTGTGACAGAATTAACTTATCTATACACACCTGCAAAAACCTGTCATGCCATCGGTCCTAAAACGATAAGATATTACCATAAGCGCTATTTTTAACTCTTTCAAATCAAAGTAAAACAAAGAACTGATCTATAAATAATACAATTTTCAAAATTTTAATCGCTCTTGTGTGGTATCACTTTTCTGGCAAAATATTATTGTTACAGAATATTTTTTTAAAACCTCGATTTGTCTTTTTATTATTCCTGCAATGGACACACGAGGTTCCCTGATTTCCCTAGACGATCAGCATATTATCATTTCTTCTTTATCAACTGATGGTCTTGTTTGTAATAGTTAATAGATCCATTAGGTGTTCGTTTTTCCATTTCTAAAGCAATGCAAACAAAAAATTCCTACATTGCGTTCTGCTGACGTAAGTTCTTCATATTTTTGTATATCAATCAGCCTTTGAGCTGCAACTACATCTATTCTACTAACTTTTAATCAGGTTGTGGACATGTTTATTTTTTCTACAAATGAACAAAATCAATGTGTGTATATGGAAAGTTCCGTTTGTTTTTAAAACAGTTCGCCATTAATATTACAAGGCAACATCATGTTATTGTTCATTTGGTGTCCTAAATGTTAGTATTAAAGGCCTATAAATAAAACACCATAGCTGGTGAGCTTGAAGCTCTGGTAGGGGTATTGACTTTGTAAAATCATCAGATAAACTGTAATCATAGATGTGGAAAGAAGTCCTCAGATTTATTCAAATGATATGGATTCTCTGAAGCAATACAAAAGTTGGTTAGCGTAGAGTGTAGAAAACAACAGCTTAGGAAATTTTGCATGTGTTTGAGACTTGCTATACATACATTTTTGTTATGCTGTTAAATTTTTCAATCACAATGCTTGGTTTAAAGGTAAAGACCAGTAAATTGAAAACGCCCCAATTTCAAAAAATGAAATGCAAGCTTTTATTATCAACCATGTGAAAGAATATGTCTTGACATATTGGTGTGTGAGAGATAAACGCATGTGTAGCGCACATGTGCGTAGTCCCATATACATCTTTCTGTGTACAGTGCTTTTAACTTTACGAAGACTGGGCCAAACTTCTTATCATTTTGATGATTCCAGAACCTTGCAGTACACACCAATACTCATATGCTACATGATCAACCTTTTCTGTTCGATTCCACAACGTTTCTTTTACAATGCAATCACATGACCAGAACTGGTCTTTATCTTTAAGGCGATTCAGGAGATTTTCTTGCTGTGAAATTGGCTGTCATTACTGATTTGTGAGAGCAATGATTTTTGTTGTTGTTTTGTTTCTTTTCCAGTGTTTACTCACATGTGCTGTCTTCATAAGATGTAAAAATATTAAATGCATTAAAACATGAATAGAGGACATGTGGAAGCTATTTGTTTTAAATAAATAAATGTGTAAAAAGGTTAAATGTGTACAGTAATCATGCCATTAAACACTTTCAGACTCTAGATCATTTTTCAAATGCACATTTTGCCAGCTATCTTCTATAAGGCAGTATGAGCTATGTACGGTCGGTGGAATTATTTGGGACAGCGGACAAGTTTTTGTTGAGTTGAGATTTTAAATGTCATACTCTGTTTGTTTGTTTTTTGAATAATTTTCTTATTGTGCCCCTGACAAAGAATCAGGTACCTTCATGTTGGAGTTTCTTTCCATGGAAGACAGTTTTTACCTTTTTCAACAACAAAGCAAATTATGACAAGTCACAATTTCCCTTTTGAATGCTCCTTTATACTACAGTCAAACCTGCTTTAGTGACCATCCGTCAAAAAAGACCACATTTTTGTTTCCCTTGAAAATGGTTTCTCATTGAATCATGTACTAAGGGAAACTGTCTACAAAGAGCACTTTTTGTGTTTCCCTTGGGTGGTCACTGTAGACAGGTTTGACTGTATTTATTTACATATGGTGGCGCAGAAGGGTGATAAGATCATCAATGATGATGATGATGATTCTCAGCATTTCTATGGCGCCACATTTCTGTTGATTTTGTTTATAAAGGTGCAAATACCAGTGTCAGTGATTGTGTGTTTGTATTTATGAATACTGCATAGTGATAGGTATCAGATCACTTCCTTCGATACTTAACGGAGCAAAAGGGGGCAAACGTCATGCCAACTTTGCCGTTCATTCATTCACTCATGCCGACCGGTAAAACACACACCACTCTTCTCCTTATAACCAACCTAGCACACTATTCAAGAAGCAAGCCGGCATTCCTAGCTCTTCCAACGTCACCTCACGTATATATCCAACTATTGATTTTCACTCCGTGCAAACCAACGCCCTTGCCTGGCATATTTCACCTCTGTATTATGGCGTAATTGTGCGATAAATATGTAATTACCCCTGCCGGCATCGATTCCCGGTCTTGTTTGCGACCCCTGCGAAATTGATAACGCACTTCGTGACAATAGGCGCCCTGCGTCACCGGATCGAGCCGATGTCGGCCGCGCTCTATTTAGAGGCTTAAGAAACATTTGTCTCGTGGTAATTATGGGTCATTGTGAGAGCGGTTTTGGTAGAGGCAGATGGATATCCACCTGCTGTTCAACCGGGCGAATGTCAGGCAGGAAGGTTTGGATAAGGATGCTAAATAAATATAAATAGCAGTACAGGCATGACTGGAAGGGATATACCAAAAGATCTGTCAACATAGTTTCCATCACATTTTAGTGTATAATAGCTGTAGTCAAATACTTTCAGAGTCATTTGATGTTGAAAACATGCGGTTCCCACTTATGTAAATGGATCTATTCATATCCAAAGTTATTGTAAAACGTTACAACTTTTAGTTGCTACATGTATGCAATTTAAATGTCAGTACCACTGGAGGCCATAGATGTACACACCGAATGTTATTTCTTATCTTTAGAGGCCATCGCTGTGTGAAGCTTCATTCCTTTCACCTTCAATAACTATTCATTGGAGAAACAGAAATGTTTTTTGTTTTTTTTCTTCTTCAAACCGATTCACAGGTTGTGTGAACAGGGCTTTTATATTGGGATAGTCATTTAGACAGGCTAAAGGCTCGTTCAGACATGACGCGGAAAACCGCAGCTAGTCTTTATGCTGACATAAAATGTAATACGCTCTACGTTTCTGTATCGTATAACAAAGAGCTCAGTGAAAACATGTAAGTCCTTTGTTGCGCGTATAGTTAATATTCATTTACACATTTAAAAAACGTTGTGGCTTTTTTGTGGCAGTTTCTACAGAGCCATATGTGAACGAATCTTACGGTGTGTGGCTGTCTTAAACGGGTAAATAAGTAAAATGTCACCACTTAAATTAGC